CTCATTGAATTGTGCAATGGAAACATGAGCAACTAATTGTCTATTATAAGTCAATAAAGCTGAGGGGAAAAGAATAATAAGAGTATAAATATGATTCGGAATGGAACGAAATGATTTTTAAGTAAACGTGAATTAAAAAATCATGTTAATGACATTCTAGCACTTTCAAATATTTACAAGCAAAAGGGATTATCAGTCATATATTTAATCCTTTAGCCACCAAAGGATAAACAGATATAGCCTATTAAGTAGTGAAACAGGCCCTCTCAAAAGCCTTCTCTAAAATATGATGTTTTAATGGTATTCTTTACCATTTGTGGAATTTATAATCAATTTTTATAAAATGTATTATAAACTATGAAAATTACTTAAACGACCAATGAGACCAAAGTTAAATATCCAATGGAACTTGTGGAAGAGCAGGCAGTTCTTTATAAACTGTATTACTTGCTGACAGGATTTAATGCCACGTTAATATAGTGCTTAGAATACAGAAATGCATACTGCACCAAGAACATACAAAAACCAAACACTCTTGTCATTGTTAACTATAACCTTTGAATAGTTACTCATATGTGTTACCAATTGCTTTCCAACCTCAGCGATAAAAACAGCACAATATACCAATGTCAAATATTAACACAGTATGAAACTATCGAATGGCCTGGCACAGGAATTTGAAACATCCTTTTGACTACAGCTAGTAACAGGCTGAACCTGCCACCAATGTGATAAGCTGCTTCTTTGAGGACAGACGTCAATTAATTTTAAACACTGAGATAATCATAACTCATTACCATATGCTGGTGTCTAATCTTTATGAAGGTGTTTTATAAGATTTCAATTTCTCATCTGTTCCTAAATTCAATGAACTTTCTTGCTATATAGAAATCCTCACTGCTCCCCCACTCCCAAATAAATTGTGTTTATCTTTACTTACTGGAGAAAGAGAATATGAAGTGGCCAGAATTTCACTGCCTTTGGAAGAATTTCTTGGTACACATAAAATTGTATTCTATCTCCTAATGGATGATCAGCTGAAAGCATTAAATCCCTACTGAGCATTCTGGAGAAGTGGCATACCACTATGTTGCTATGGTGAAAATAGTTGAGATGGGGAGGAGGTAAGAAATAATGGTGGCTTGGACCAGGGTAGAAGCAATGGCATTGGTGAGAAGTAATCGGATTCTGGATATATAATGAAGGCAGAAACGACAGGATTTGCTTATGGAGGTTATATGGGAAGTGAGAGAAAAAGAAGAAAAAGAGTAACTCCAAGGTTTCTGGCCTGGAATCGAGAGAAGTTCTTTTGAAAATGGAAGCAATAATAGCATGTTTGAGGGTCCACAGTAACAGATGCCAAGGCAGAAGATATAGGATATAGACACAGATGCAGACAGATGGGTAGGTGTGGTAGGAGCTTGTGGAAGCACTCTTTTGATTACTTCAATTCTCGTGGAATAAGATCCAAAATACAATTTGAGAGTAAATTGGAAGTGTTAGAGATTTAAGGAGAAAAGAACATGTATGTGGACATGTAAGCAGGAGAGGAAATGGCTAAGAAAACATAGTATGATTATTGGGCAAAATTAAGGGCTCACTCTGAGTTTACAGTCATAAATTTAAAGTGAGATCAGTCTGTATATATGTCAATGTTTTTTACTGTTACTTCTGCTATGCAAAGTGCAGCTATAAAGTAGGTAGGAAGTAGGATTTAACCAGGGTTGGATTTTGACAGTAAGTATAACAAAAAGTGAGAAGCACCAAGGAAACTGAGGATATATGCATGGGAGTGACCATGGAAGTTAAACTGGGTAAGGAGAGATGTGAGGATGCCAGGGGGATTAGGGATAGTTTAAAAGTTGTAGGATCAATGCCACACAACTATAGGTACTTCCATGTTCAATGATGCTTTCATATTTTTACTCTATTATTTCTATACTTTGTACTTGTTTATAAATTAGTTGTTAAAATATGGTAGAAATTACGAATATGTGACTCTGTTTGGAGCCTAGCACTATATCATGCACAATTAGATCTTTAAACCTGCCTTCTCATGACATTCAGCCTAGTCTCTCTTTCCAGCCCTGGCCCCACACACAAATACATACATGCACAGGCACACGCATACATGTAAAATAACAGCAGTTACCTTTGGGTGGTGACTAGAGTTTTTTTTGTTTGTTATATGGGGTTTGGGGTGAAGGTTCTTCCCTTGTACTTCCTAATTTCTAAATTTTTTATATTGAGTATGAAATTCTTTTATAATTTAGAAAAAGTATTTAAAAGAACATATGTATTTATACCCACATATGACTAAATGCTTGCTGTGCTCCATAATAAAATTTTAGAAGACTTAATCAGGCAGGATTAAGGCCATAAACAATTTACAGAAAACAAAATATTTGAGAGGATAGAAGCCCACATACTTTTAAAACTACCAGGTTTCATCAAACATGCATGGATCATTGTATAGCAAGTAAAATATAGTAAAATGCCTGACATCGAAACTATAATTAATACAGTGAAATATTTTTAAATTGAAAGAAAGTACCATCACATACCTGCTTTCTGTTTTGAGCTCTTGCATTCCGTAATCTTCGAGCAGAATAAAAGATAAAATAGCCCACAGTTGCTGCCGTAATAATAAAAAAGGATACGGAAACGAGGAAAATTGAATAGTGATTGACCCAAGGGCCATGTTTTTTCCCTACTTCTATGACCATTGTTACTTGTATGCCTCTTTGAATTGATTGTAGAATTTTTGTGCCTTTCAGATTGCCAATCATGATTGCAACAATGTCTCCTGCACCTGTAAAAGAAAAGGAATTTAGTTTTCCTTTGGTAAAGCATTCTTAGTATAAAAATCTAAGTGCTAAAGTGAATTTAAATAATTCCCAATAAAACAAAGGAAGGAGATTCATTTATTTAATTAACATTTATTGGGTACCTAATATGCATATGCAAGTTATAGAGGATATAAACATGCTAAGACTTGGCTACTAATCTTAAGGAGCTCATAGTTTAGTAAGGAACCTGTGATATATAACAAATACCTTTGCTATCCTTAGGTTAACCACCTATAATTCAACAGATGAGTCTGAGGCACGGTTTCCCTCGTAAATGAAGGCTTTCTGAAAGACAATCTCCTCAAAGAAAAGGGCATACATCCTAGAGAATCAGACATTTGTGAAAGACAGAAATATTTAACTATATATTTCCCAATTTATAAAGTAACAGACTATCTCAGGAGTTTACTACTAAAATGTATAAGGATTTACATATCAGAATTAGTAATTTGAGACAAATGTTTATAAGCCCAAATGTACTATATAATATTATGTGTGTGTGTGTGTGTGTGTATGTGTGTGTGTGTGCGCGCGTGTGTATTAAGTCCATACAAAACCTTAGAGTACCTTGGACAAATTTTATATTGCTTTTGAGGATATATATAAAATATTAATCCATGTGCCACTTTTCTATATCCTCAAAAGCAATATAAAATTTGTCCAAGGTACTCTAAGGTTTTGTATGGACTTAATCAGATTAGTACTGAATATAAAGTAAAATTGATAGAAATGTATGTTACTATTCAACATCGACTAAAATCAAGTCTGAAATTAGACTAAATTCATTACTTAGTCTAAAAAACTAAGTCTTAGTCTTGTTGAACCTGAGAATGAAGGTACTTACTAAGAAGGGCTCCTGGCGCTGGTTGGACTCAAGTTTAAAAATAGAGCCTAGCAGTCATTGCTGAACAGGGGGCCTCATAAAAGACGTGCTTCAGGGAGAAGCCTGAACTCAAATGCCTACCACCTATTCTGAACTGCTTGCCTGTGCTGTGTTCCTGCCATCTGAGCCAACCCTTATAAAAGAGTTCCTTGGATCATATTTCAACCAATAGGACTGAGACTTTGCCTGTCCAATCGTAGCTGTGCAGTTATATCTGTTAGCATGTTCACTGACCAATCAGAGTGACTGCTTTTTGGACCAATCAAACTGAGGATTTAAAGTCCTCATTTGCATGAGAATGGGCCAATCAGGGACCAGGGATGGGGATTTCTTTCAATAGAAGTAAGCTCCTGTGTGGCTCATGGACTGCACTTTCCTTTTCCAGTGTTGAATGCATTTCCCTGGCTGGAACTGCACCACTCAAGCTGTCTTGCAGGAGCAGCAAGGAGCTGTCCTGTCTTGGAGGGTTGGAGTAGAGCAGAGCTGTCTCGTGGGCCAGAGTGGAGCTATTTTGCTGGAGAGGGGCTGAACTTCCTGCCCAAGGCTTCCTCACAGCCATGCTGTTCCACAATTGATCTGTAGCATTATTGAGCTGTTTCACAGCTGTGATTTTCTCCAGCTGAGCTGGATTACAACTGAGCTGTTAGAGATGTGCTGTATCACAGTTAAGCTGTTTGCACTCAATGAAGTCTCCCCTTTCGCTGCAACTCAAATTGGGGATTTCTGTTGGTGTTGAATTGGCATCAAGACCATCGGTTGACAGTCTAAAGGTCTAATCTCTGTAACACTTCCCTCTCTACCCCCATAACTAATCTTTGTCCTCCCTACTACCCAATTATATAAATCTTGTGAAAATAAAGGACAAATATTATCTTTCCCAGTGTTGCGAGAATGTCAGATGACTCATGCCATTTCAGTGATTATCAAGGTTTATATTCCTTCTAGTTTACATGATGTGAGACCAATAATCTTAAACAAGAGACTAGAGTTCTTTGAATGTTAAGAGATTACCAACCAGAGAAACCTCCCACTGTTATTAGGTTAAGGTACTATCTTGGTTAATGATCAAACTCCAATCTGGAATAAACAAAACCACACACACACACACACACACACACACACACACACACACACACACACATGCACACAATCCTAAAAGGCCCTTCAGACTAGAATTTAAATACAAAAGTACAATATTAAAATAATATTCACATTTTCAATAATAAAATTAAGAGTACAAACCTTAAATGGGAATGTACATAGCAGAATTATTACCCAAGTAATCCCTTAAATTTACAGTCCCAAGTGGCCAAAGTCTTTAAAAGATCAAGATCCTCTCCTTATTGAAGAATATATTCAAAAAATATATTCATAAGTTATTATTACAGATCTTTAAAGTTCCAAAATACACTATTTTTTACATATGATAGCCATTCGGTTAAACCCTTTTATAATTTAACTGACTCATTTGCAATCACTCAGTTTGGTAGACATTGATGACTCACTCTCATTTATGTGGGGAAAAATCTCAAAAGCAATCTGGTGACTGCCAGAAGGGAGGGGTTGGAGGGCTGGGAGAATGGGGTGAAGGGTTAAAGAAGTACAAATTAGCAGTTGATAGATGATCATTGGAATGGGGAGCACGGCACAGGGAATACAGTTAGCATTAATGTAATGGTGAGGTGGAGAGCCAGAGGAGAGAAAGAGCAATTAGGGAGATCATTTTATAAACTATATAAATGTCTAATCGATGTACTGTTTACTTGAAACTATAATAAAATTTTAAAAAATTATTACTATTTCCTCAAAACATTCTTACAGTTGATCTTTAAAAACAATATTAATGTACTAATACATAGACTCTTGTACAAATAGTCAACCTTTCCACTTTTCTATCCAAAGTTTCACTATACCAACTATCTTCTTTGAAAAGTACCAGGCTTAAGAAACCAAATATAGGTTGCACAGATCAGTTGATTAAAACATAGTGTTAATAAGGTCAAGGCTATCATTCAAGTAACCTTCGTGTGGATCAGCTATACAGAAGACAGTATTTCTAATCTCATTCATTCAGGTTTGTTTTATCTAGACACATGCCAGGCCTTGGAATTACAAAAAGAAATAAAATATAGTCCCTTCTCTCTAGACACTTGCAAATGTCAGCCATTCACCACTAGGAAGAATAGGAACTAAGCCAGTGAAACGAATTGTGCGTATACATTATCATAGCTAGTAGTAGAAAAAAATAATTTCCAAATCACATTCTGAACTGATACTGGGTTAGTAAGATATCCTCCTATAAACACTATCCAATAATTTGGAAAATAACAAATTGTATACTTGTTTTGATATTTATGAATTTGGTAGTGCTCTTTATTTAAAAATTGGTAACCAGAAATAGACTAGAGTTTGAGCCAGGGAAGAAGTATAATGTAGCAAAAATAACACTGAAGTGGGAATCAGAACAATGGGTTGTACTAAATTTCTTAAGTCAAGTATGGCCAAGAAATATGACTATATTTCTTTTTCTATCCTTATGGAATTTCCAAATAAACTATTATTCCATTCTGCTTTTCCAAAAACATAGCACCCATTCCTCCCCAATAAAGAAAAAGAAACTCTGCTAAAAGTGTTTGATGAGGAAAATTGACAATTGGACAACACAGCTCTATGGCCTAAACCCAGATCAGAGAACAGCTGTCATTTCAGGATTTGAAACTCTCTAAATCTGCACTTTTATTTCGAAGGTGGTTT